CCAAATATGAGTGACCACGGCCCATAACATAGCATCAGGAGGTCCTGAGAACTTGTGCCAAAGGTAGTTAGGTTACAGCTTGGTTTTATATATTTAGGCCTCAAAATGTATAACTGTTTAGGGAGGGGGTTTCAGGCTATAGGTGAATTCAAACTGATTGGCAATGGGTTGTTTTGCCTGAAGAGTTGAAATCAGCATAAATAAATGCTTGAGTTAAGATAAGGGGGGCTATGGAAGCCAAGGTTCTTGTTGTATAGATGAAGCCTCTTAGTAACAGGCTTCAGAGAGAATAGATGCTAAATATCTCTTATGAGGCTTTAAAAGGTGTCAGACTCTGGATGAGAGCTAAGACAGGGGTCTTCAACTCCTGGGCTGCAGACTGGTACCAGTCTGTGCCCGTTAGGAACCAGGCCACACAGTAGGAGGTGAGCGGCAGGTGAGCTAGCATTACACTCTGAGCTCTGCCTCCTGTTAGATCAGTGGTGGTATTAGATTCTCATAGGTATGTGAGCCCTATTGTGAACTGCACATGTGAGGGATCTAGGTTATATGCTCCTTATGAGAATTTAACTAATGCCTGATGATCGGAGGTAGAACAGTTTCATCCTAAAACCATATCCCCCTTACCCGCCCAGTCCATGGAAAAGTTGTCTTCCATGAAACTGGTCCCTGGTGTCAAAAAGTTTGGGGTCTGTTGTTGTAAGAAAAGAACATTTTTGATAGCATGCAAATGTTCCCTCAAAAGATGGCTTTGTAGAGCCATTTCAAACTATGACAAAGAAAATATATTTTGGGGTAAAATATTCTGATTTCCTTCAGGGCTTGTTATCTGTCATGTGATGCTATACCAGAGTCAGGTTGGAGTTTGGTATCTTATTGCTATGAAGAATCTTTTTTTTTCAGTCTAACGATCTCTATTTTAATGTTAAGGCTGGTCAGTTGTGCCTATACTCCAAAGACAGAAAAGTATAAGGAGGCATCTCTGACTGTCCTTTCCATCATGGCCTGAACTAGTTTTTCAGGTTTTCCTTGTGGCTCATATCTATAATCCCAGCACTTTGGTAGGCCAAGGTGGGAGGATTGTTTTGGCCCAGGAGTTTGAGATCAGCCTGGACAATATAGTGAGACCTCTATCTTTAAAAAAAAAACATTAAAACAATTTAAAAAATTATATTGATATTTAGATCAATTTGGGGGATGTGGCCATCTTAAAATAGTAAGTTTTCTGATCCATGAACATGGGATATCTTTCCATTCCTTTAGATTTTTAATTTCTTCCAACATTTAAAAATAGTTTTCAGTGTACATCTTACACTACTTTAAGGTATTTCTAAAATTTTATTCTTTTTTATGCTATCGTAAATGGAATTGTGTTCTTAATTTTATGTTGAGATTATTTATTGCTAGCATACATAAATATGAATGAATTTTCTATATCGATCTTGTATTATGTGACCTTGTTTAACTTGTTTATTCGTTCTAGGAGATTTTTTAAGCAGATTCCTTAGGATTTTCTTCTTTCTTTCTTTCTTTCCTGCTTTCTCTTTCTTTTCTTTTCTTTCTCTTTTTGACAGTGTCTCTCTCTTATAGCCCAGGCTGGAGTACAATGACAATCCTGGCTCACTGCAACCTCCGTCTCCTGGGTTCAAGTGAATCTCCTGCCTCAGACTCACGAGTAGCTGGGATTACAGCCACCCACCACCATGCCAGCTAATTTTTGTGTTTTTAGTACAGATGGGATTTCACCATGTTGGCCAGGCTGTTCTGGAACTCCTGACCTCAAGCGATCCACCCAACTTAGCCTCCCAAAGTGCTGGGATTCTGGGCATGAGCCACCACATCCCACCTAGGATTTTCTTTTCCTTTTTTTTTTTTTTTGAGACAGAGTCTCA